GCCTGTCGGCACATGGCGGGTGATGGTGGTTGTCAGGCAGGCAAATCTCATACTGAGGTTACATGTGGAAGGTGCTCAATAGATTTATTGGCATCAGGGAAGGCTTCAGGGGAGGGAAGCTGCTACTTAATCCGCAGCGCATTTGACAGGCTGTACAAAGGGCTCCTGCTGATCTCTGATTCATTACTTCACCGGAGGAGGCGGCGCAGTGGTTTTTAAGGATTTTTTCCTGATGAGTCGTTATTAGTAACCCTGTTGCAACACCTTGTCAATATCTGAATGAAAAGCTCTTTCAGGTGAGAGGCTCGTTGTCGGAAATGACAAGCAAATAGGAAAATGGTGCATCTATTACTGTTGGAGCTCTCTGCTTACAGTGACCTGTGTCTAGAATTCCTCTGGAATCTGAGAAGTTAGGATTAAGACAAACCTGCTATTCTGAAAGGTAATGCTGGGGAATGGGAGAATTAGCTAAAGTAGCAAAAAGTTCCTTTTAGAACAGACACAACGCCATATGGTTCTCCCCGGTGCTAGCCTCATACTGAAAGATAAAGGACATCGTTGAAATAGGACGTCAGATCCAGGCCTGAATGAGCACGACCAAAAGTTGCTGCTGTTTGATGTTGTATGTGACATAAGATACTCTCTCAGGCTGGTTCCCGGTGGCCAGGTATCTTCCTCACTAAAACTAGCATTATCAATGGTCCTCAGTCTTGGAAATCTCATCAAAGAAATCAAGGGTTAAATGGCTCATGGGCACATCCAGGACAAAGGTGAAGTACACTGGAGTGGGAGATCTTGCGTTGCTTCTGCCCACACTGGACCTCATTTTCACAGATCTTAGGTATATCTCCATATATTATTATTATTATTATCTCCTAGAACTGGAAGGGACCTTGAAAGGTCATTGAGTCCAGCTCCCTGCCTGCACTAGCAGGACCAAGTACTGATTTTTTTTTTCTTCCCCCCCACCCCCCAGATCCCTAAGTGGCCCCCTCAAGGATTGAACTCACAATCCTGGGTTTAACAGGCCAAAGCTCAAACCACTGAGCTTGTGTATGCATCTATGACTTTGAGAGGCACTCCGACATTAAGGTGTTGGACACAGGATAGATGACCAGTATCAGTGGTATAAAAGTCTTATGGCGCCTCCGCTAGCAAAGATCAGCCTAGCTCTGGAGCCAATGGAGCGCTACTGATTTACACCAGCTGACCATCTGGTAAAATGGTACTATCCTTAGACATGGTTGGGAAGAAATGATCTATAATGCCCAAGTTTGTAATGGGGTCATTGATGCCAGTGGGCATGTCAAAGCCTCCAAACCTGACTTATGCACAAGAAATCTATTTCCTCTCATGGCTGGAAGAGCTGCATTTGGGTCTAGTTAAAAAATAGAACAGCAAAAGTATGAAAGGGATGGGAAAATAGATAAGTCTGCAGTGACAAAATCATCTTTGTTTCCTTGGAGTCGGTGAGAGAGAAGAGCTGGAAGACAATGAGTAATTAGTCATTGCTGAATTATTGATGAAAGATACTGTACAAGTTGGAACAAATTTCAGCAATGGGAGGGAGTTACGTGAATCGTTTGTCTTCATCTGGAGAGGCTTTATGAAGAGCAAATATCTGTCCGGACCTGCCCATCTTCTGCCATGGGCAAGGACAGGATTTTAAAGTGACCCTCACTTTCCCAAACTCCGGTTCACACAACCCCGAAGGTTCCTGTGGCTCCCCAGTTAGCATATGCTGAAGCTGTGGTCCTGCTGCCCCCCCTTAGCTTCAAGCTTCATGTCTAAGATTTGCAGAGCTGGAGATAAGCTCCTTGGCCTGCCAACGCCTCTCCTGTGCAGTGCCTAAGATCTGCAAAAGTTTTATCTTCAGGCATGTGCCCTGTGGGGTTCCTAAACACTGCAAGTCTGAAGCTCCCTAGGGGTGGCTTCTGAAACCCCCAAATCTATGGATGCTTCAGGTGTCCTATAACTTTGCAGAATCAGTCCCTTAGTAATTTTTTAACTTCTCCATGTTTGGAATTCATGCTGCAATCATGAATGATAGAAATCGGAGATTGCATTAGTTGTTTGTTAGAATTTAGGAAATCTAATCAAAGATCAAGGCCCAATCACAATCTAGTCCACTCCCTTGTCAGATTTGGATTGCCCCTGTGGTATATTTAAGTGATGAGATCCTTAACAATTTGTTTCCTATTATAGCTCACAGATCTTCTGGCCTAGAGCAGAAGATACTGGGTATGGGTCTTTACCTTGTTGTAAAAGCAGTTTCAGATTAATACCTAGCTTTTATATAGTTCTACTTTTCATTAGATCTAGTCTGAACTGCTTTAACACATTATTACCCCTTGGGCTAGCATTTTAAAGCTAGCTCTTCCTTTGTGCCACTTGCACAATTGTATTATTAAACAAAATTTCCCAGGCCACAACAACTCAGAATCTTGGGGAAATGGTGAGAGGTTGCTTTGCAGCAGGAAAAAGCTGCAGCTTGTACTGTGATGTCTTGTTTAAAAAGTCATGCCAAGGAAAGATTTTTTTTTTTTTTCAGATGAGCAAGGGTGGGGGGGAACCCAATATAGTTCTGCTGCTAGCTTTAGCATCCATCTAGCATCTCGGTCATAAAGCAGCAAAACAAGAGGGCTGCTGATGTTGTGTTACTGAGCTGCTCTGGATTGAGGTGGGGGTCAGAGAATTGATTTCATATTTCCTCACTGCAAAAAGGAAAAAAAGGACCACATTTCCTGTAGCTCTGAAGGCGACTTTTGGTATGATCTCATCCCTATTGTTATCAATGAAGCCCAGCCTTTTTCCTGTCCTTATGCATGCTGGAGAAAGAATGAACTATTTTTACATCTTAATCGATAAACAAGAGGCAAAATACCTCTGAAGGCACAGATTAGTGGAGGAAGTGGCAGGATCATCTTTCGTGCTCCCCCCTCCCCCCCAAGACCAGTGAATTGCTGCTTTATCTATACTGCAATAGTGAGTCAAACGCAGAGTAGTGGCTGAACAGGTTTCAAAAGCTAATTCCCTCTCAAGAAGTGCATTGTGATCGACTGTAGAATTAAACCAAAGGGTAGCTTTATAATGATGGGTTATAAGCACAAGCACCTGTTTTATCTTGCACTCTGCCAGCTGAGTGTCAGAGTAAAACATGCCCATAGTCTCCAGCATGTATCTCCGCCAAGGTAGCATTTTGTCACCCACGCCGGGAGTGAAGCTTTTTAGTGGCTATTATTCAAATTGGATTCAGCGGGATCATCGTATGTCGGGTTAGGATTGTAGGACCACGTTTGTAAAATGAGAACCGTGCCAACAGGGTGAGTAGTCAGGATTAAGGACACTCAGGGTATGTCTACACTGCAATAAAACACCCAGGGTTGGCCCATGTCCGCTGATTCAGGCTCAAAGGGCTTGGGCTGCGGGGCTCTAAAACTGCAGTGTAGATGCTTGGGCTCAGACTGGAGCCCAAGCTTGGGGACCTGCTCCTCTTGGGGGTCTGTTGAGGAGTATCTTACTCCATGAACCATCCCATTGTCTGCAGTGGTACTGTGAGTAAAGAGGACAGCATTGGATTCCCAGCAGCCAGTTAAGGACTACATTTTTGCTGTACGCAAAAGGTGATGCACAAGCTACCCCCTTCTCAGGAGTAGCCCCAGGAGACGCTGTGCCTTAGACATTCCCAAAGAGAGGTGTCTATAACAGGGTTGGAGCTGTAATTTCCAGCTCAGCTAGCGCTACATGGGTGAGCTTGGATTCAGCTAGCACACTAAAAATAGCAGCGTAACTGTGGCCGCGTGGGCAGCAGGTGGGGCTAGACGCCGTGAGTATGTACCTCAGGTTTCAGCTAGCTGCTATTTTTAGCACACTAGCTCAATCAGAGCCGGTGTGGGTATGTCTATCTGAGCTGGAAATTTTTACCTTCGGCTGCAATGTGGGAAATGCTTCTCCCTCAGAACATGGAGAGGAACAAGTTACTCCAGTCCTTGCATCTGGCCAATAAGCAGCAGATGCAGAGCAAAAGCTCCATTCACTCCCCAGCCCCTTGGCTTCACCCACTCCCAATTCACTGGCTCACAGCAGGGAGTGTTCACAGCAGACTAGGAGCTACAACCTTGGTAGGTCTCATTTGCCTGAGCAGGTGGCGTGGTGGAGCCTTAGCCCCTCTTACAATCCCATTTGTGTCCTCAGCTTGCTTAGGCAATTTAGCCTGGAGACTGCAAAGCAGCATTTAACCAGGGCCACCCAGAGGATTCAGGGGGCCTGGTGCAAAGCAATTTCGGGGGCCCCTTCCATAAAAAAAGTTGCAATACTATAGTCTCATGGGGGGGGCCCCTGTGGGGCCTGGGGCAAATTGCCCCACTTGCCCTCTCCCCGCCCCCCCCCCGGGCGGCCCTGCATTTAACCTTCTGTCCATCAAAACATGTAATGAAAAGAAGCATTTCTTGAAATGCTGCAAGGCTTTCTTGGTTGGTAGATGTAGGGGCCAGGTGTGGAGTTTGGTTCTGGATTGTGAAATGGATGGGAACTTCCCTGCTTTGTGGGTTGTGGATCTTGCATTATCATTGGGTAATTCTAGTATGACACATTATTCTCCTTGTTCAGTGGCTTCTAAACCTGCGTGTGCCACCTTCTCCTTTAGGAAATTCACAAATTCCTGCTTGGAATCCATTTTCCCCTTTACACAGCAATAATTACACGAAGAAATCACAGAGGCACAGTAGGGTCCAGATAACCATGTTGCTAAACCTACAGAACCACGCAGGGCCTAGTTATGCATATACACTGATCTGGTTGATTTTTAAAACATAGAACACAGTGAGCACCACAAGAGGGTTCACAACTATTTAAAGGGATAACTACTCAATTCCTGCATACCATACTGGGAGAGGATCACATTTCAAAGTGTACATGGCTTTCATGTCTGTGGTCCCTGTTCTATGGGAAGATGTATGTAGGTGCCCTAAGTGAGGCTAGTCATGACATTAAGAACTCACCTGTGCAGTGCTTTTGCAATCGGAGAATCTCTAGGTGCAGGTCATGGAGCAGTTCCATCTGTTCCTTCTTCAGGAAGGCGATATGTCTCTGCACGCTCTGGATCTGGTGCTCCAGGGACAAAGTCTCCATCGCAACAAAATTAACAGTCCAAGCCTGGAGGGAGTCAATAGTTCGTGATCAGACAAGCAGCTGTGTACTGTACTTGTGACTCAGCTGGGGAGGTGAAAATTATTCCTGCGGCTTTTACAAGAGACATTTAAAAGGGGGAATTGAACGCTGCTTGAGATATATTATGAGTGGCTGAACCCCAGTCTTTCCTTTCTCTTCCCACACATTGGGGGCGCCTCTGAGTCCTTTTACTTAGATTTCACCAGGGCTTTTTACTTATAGGACCCCCATCGCTATAGTGCCTCAGATAGATTAACGGATTGGACTGAAGTTTTATCATCCCCCTTGTGTATATGGGGCACGGAGACCCAGATTAAGCTCCTTTCCTAGGGCCACACATGGGATCTGAGGTAGAGCAGGCAATCTAGGCCTGATGACGCCATGTGGGTGATGTCAGATGATGGCATGGCTTTTTAGTTTACTTTTTAGAAACTAGGACATTTCTCACACTCTCACACACACACAAATATTACGACTGCAAAGTCAAGTACTAAAAAGCTAGGAACTGCTAGAATTGCTTTGAAATGCCTGTGCAACCTTAATTCAGAACCTTTGTGCATATGCCTTTTTACACCGTCTTTCATTACTCTTGCATTTTATTTCTTTTTCTATAGGACCCCTTCCTCATTCAGGACACAGAATATTTGGTGCTCACTGAATTAGCAGCTATTCAATACTTGTTTTATCCCCGCAGTTGCATGGGGCATACATTCCTTACTTACTGCCAACTATTCAAACCTTGCTCTGAAGACAGAATTATGCATTTCCTCCTCAGGTTTTTTGATGGTTTCCTCACTATAGTATCAGTGCATCAAACATTAATGACTTCATTTTCACAACACCCTGGGAAGTGAGGGGTGGTATTATCTCCATGCCTCCATTTCCTATCTGTAAAATGGGAATAAGGTCAAAAGTATCAGCTAAGTTTTCTATCTGACTTTAGACACCCAGCACCTGATTTTTTTATTTTTTTTTATTTTTTTAGAATACACAGCATTAGATAGCACTTCATATGTTCAAAGCACAGCTCCCATTGATTTTGTTTGCAGCTGAGAGTACTTGACACTTCTGCAAGTCAGGCACTGAATGAGGCAGGGGTCCAGTGCAAAAAATAGTATGTGATCATGTGTTTAAAGACTGCATCATAATGCATAGGCACAAGGAGGCTGAATTAGACATTGTCTAACTTTTGAGTGTTGACTTTGAAACCTTAATGTTTTAGTGTGTGCATGTGTATAAAATATTATATATAATGATGGGAGGGTGGAAGAACTGTTGAGGAATAACATGCTTAGTCAAATTGTGCTCTGTTATTGATATAAACTGGAGCAACTCCACTGATTGAATTTTACACCAGCATAACGGAGAGCAGTTGGTCCTTAGTATAGGGAAGTTCCTTCACTGATTCTTAAAAGCAGTCCCCAGTGTAAGATAAAAATGGCCTCTATTTTACTATCTACGTCTCCAGTGGAGAGGTTAATACAGAGCACTCTACAGTGAATGTCCTCTCTCATTTAGAGAGAGGCTTGAAACCAAGCTCAGATCTGCATCCCCCTAGGTTGGAAGCTGGACTCTGATCTGGATCCAAATTCTGTAGCTGGTCCCTATGATCTGTAATAACATCTTCACCCAAATCCAGACACCAAACTTTGGAGAGGGATTTGTTTCTGGATTCTGAGCTGCAGAACTCTCTCTAGGACATCCTGACCTCCTAAAGAAACAAAATGCCTTTCGTGAATCCACTTCTTCGTCCCTCCTAGAGCTAGAGTGCATGTGAATACTTTGTGTGAGGCTTTCAGTAGGGCTGGGGCCTAAGGTGAAGCAACTTCTGTCAGAAGCACAGTGGTGATATGGACTAAGACTCTGAAATAGTTTGAGAGAAGCAGGGGAAGCTCCATTGCTTGGGACACTTTAAAAACAAGTCAGGCCATGGCACCAGAATCAGATTTTTAGCTAGGAAGGATATAATTGTATCAGAATTTGTGGCTAACACCCCTGCTCTTTCCAAAACTGTCATGTGTTTCCTAAGGACCAAAAGTAAGTTAGGATGTTGGTTTATTTCAAAGAAGGCAAGTCCAAAAGCACTGTGGTCTCCAACCTCCCCACCCGCCTAACACTGGGCATTGGCTCAGGACTGGGGGGGAGGACGGAGGTATCACTTACTGAATCACATGACCACTTCTTGCAGCTCCTGGGTTTTCCTTGGAGGTCTCCTATCCTAGTATTGCCCTGGCCTGAACTTGTTCAGTTTCAGAAACAGCAGCAGCAATTCTATGCAGAAAAGGCTGCGGTGTAGTTCCTTTCCCATACATCTTACAGTTACGCTTTAAAAGCAGATGCCCTGGAGCCAGAGTCATCGCTGAGTGGAGTTGCATCTGGGACAAATTCACCCCTGAGTGGAGTTACATCAGGGTGAATTTGGCCCATCAGTTATTTGACAAGCTACATACTCTGCATGCATGAGATCTAATGCAGGAAAAATACAATATGCTCTGTCTCACCCAATCAGTATTATGTGGCAAGGAGATTCGCGTCCTCTTATAGAGGAAGAACAATCTTTCCTGGTAATTCACATGACGGACAAGTGGTGATGTCCACTCTGTTTCCCGGAGGCTGAGCTCCTGGAGGTTAGGGAGTTCATCACTACATGTTAATTTCTTCTGTCATGGTGCTGCATTAGCCTGCCTTGCTGTGCCACTGCACAGCAAAGATAAAAATAAACCTCAAAGAATCTGTAATCTTGGGAAACACCATCACATGTGGATACGGCAGCCATCCTTATTCCATGCATAAAACCCAGAGGGTGGGGGAAGCAATAGATTTTTATCTGTAGCAAACCATGTTGATTTGTGCTTGCACTCCATCCTTTGGAAGATTTTTGCCAGCATCGTTCTGTCATTTAGAAGCTATTCCCATTTCTTTTTTCCTCCACAGCTGATGCCCTTTGCCAGTTTCAACATTAAGCCAACGCGTTAGATTATGCTTACAGCCCTCGGATTTTTACTTTTGTGCATTTTAACTTAATTCGGTGGCATTCCTCCCCACCTCCCAATCAAATAAGCTTGATTACTGTAATAAGCCTTGGAAAACGCCAGTTTCAATACTTTCTGTTGCCAAAACCTCTTAAATTTGAGAGAGCCTTAAAATCAGGACGTCCAAAATCAGGCACTAAAGCTAAACTAATAGCAAAAAGAACAGGAGTACTTGTGGCACCTTAGAGACTAACAAATTTATTAGAGCATAAGCTTTCGTGGGCTACAACCCACTTCTTCGGATGCATCCGAAGAAGTGGGTTGTAGCCCACG